TCGTGGGTGTCGATAGCCGTGCAGGAGGCACCATTCTATTTATATGTGATATCTTAGTCCAAGTGTTATGGTGTCAATATTGCTCCAACCTTGCTTGGCCTTGCGTTCGACCATTGAGATGGCTTGCTGGTAATACACATGGCTGTTGTGCATCATGTTCGTTTGCACGCGGAGTCGTCGTCCTTGGCGCTGGTGCAAAGGCCGGCACTCGTGGCATACTACCCAATGTTGTTGTGGATGGAAACACACTACGCATAGGGGTTAGTTTGCTCATTCCAATGGTGCAACATACGCTTGGCGCATGGTGGTTTCTTGGTTCACATCAAAACTCCTTCTGTCCGGAGCACTTGTCCCTGGCGCTGGTGTAAAGGCCGGCACTTGTGGCATGGCGTCGGTGGCCAATGTTGCAGTAGAAGTAGACGAAAACACACTATACATGGGGATTGGTTGGTTGTTTGTCCAATCCAAGGGTGCATCATACCGTTGGCGCATGGTGGAGATGTTTGGGTTGACATGCACGCTTGGGATTGATTCGTCTCTCGTCCCCGCATGTGGGGTCCTCCTCGAAGCACTTGCCGCTCGTGTATAGGCCGGCATCTGTGGCATGGCGCCTGTGGCCAATGGATGCGCTGTGGTGGGCGTCCAAACATGGTTCGTTTCGTTATCTTTTTGGGTCGTCCTTCCAGCACTTTCCATGGGCAATACACTATGCATCCATTCAAATGTCGGTTGTACAATGGACACGTTACCGTGAACGTTTGATTGCAGCATGCATAGTCCCGCCTATGAATTGTGATTGCGCTCTTCGCTTGCCTCTACATGTTGTTTATTCATGGATATGTACAATGTTGTACGAACCTTGTTGAAATGTGTTGCATGTCGCTTTCGTTCGCACGCGGAGTCATCGGTCGAGCACTGGGCCCCGCCGCTGATGTAAGGGTCAGTTCTTGTGGCGTGGCGGGAGCACTGGTCCCAGCCGCTGATGTAAGGGCCGGTTCTTGCGGCGTGGCGTCGGTTGCTAATATCGCAGTGGGGGTGGGTGGAAACACACTATGCAAGTGGATAGTCGGTGGAATCGCCATCTGTGTACACCGCGCAATCCGCGCTGCTTCCAGCGAGGCCGTGTGAGACACTGGGATGGGTGAACATGCCCTTGCAGGGGACCACATTCTACTCACGTGCCACGTCATAGTCCAAATCGCATTTCATGTAGTATTCAAACCTTGCTTCTGGCACGCGATTCGGATGGATTGCAGGGGAATGCCATGGCATGTGGGTTGGGAATGTCGATTGCTCGTGTTGATGTATTTCACCTCTATGCATGCGTCAATTTGGATTGTGACATACATATCGTACCTTGTCAAAGCGAATGGCATGCGAGAAGAATCGTTGTGTGTGTGCCTAATGCACGATATGATGGCATGGTTCGTTCATGGTGTCGTACCTCGTGGTTGAGATCGTTGGGGCTGGCGCTCGTGGTCGGATTCCATGGCGCGCGACCATGTCTGCAATCTTTTCCTTCTCGCGTGTACGCACCATACCTACATTGAACGGTTCACAGCATCGCGCA